AATTTCCGTCTAGGATGTTTTGACCCGTATAAAAAAAAATAAACACCAAATTTTCCCCCGCAAAATCGAAATTCCACCAACCCCTCCTAAAATTTCCGCCAAAAATGGTAATAAGAAAACCCCCGCACCCCTAATTCTCTAACTCCTTCCCTTACTCCCCGCCACAAACATAACCCTCCTCTTTGTCGGCAAGGAGATCATGGCCACCGTCGAACGTCCCCGCCATGCGCTCCGTCAAATCCGAAAATGGAACGAAAACGAAAAATGATTTTTTCTTTTTTTTGGTTTGTTTGTTTAGCCCGCGAGTGGGATCTCTCCGGTGATGTTTGGAGGCCAGATGAGCGAGGAGGCGGCGGAAAAAGTGATCAAAACCTGGTGAAATTTTAAAATTTGGGGGTTTGTTGTGGGTTTTGATGCTTTTGTTATTGGATCCGTTTGCTTTATTTATGTCTTGATCTGAACAAGTTATTTAGGAGAGAGATAGTTTTATCTAACGTGAATTAGCTGTAGATTGAAAATTTGCGGTGTTCTTATTTTATTGATTTAGTGTATTTAGCGTCTAAATTTGTGATCAGCACATATAAACTCAGAGTAATCACTGTTTTCATTTAGCATTCTTCTTATCAATCCTCTGGCAAAATGCAAAATTTATTGGGAATTATGTTCATCTTCATTTTTGGTGAAGTCTAGTTATTTTCCCCCACTTTAGAATAATTCTTCTGCAAGTCATTTGTTCATGAGCTTCTCTGCTTATAAGATTGACATTTTAATCGTTGTGTTAATACTTTGATGATAGTTCATCCACTGAAGTTGAAGAAGATGCCTTGTCATGAGGGCCACTGCAAGTTTTCACAATAAGCGATGCATGCATTTTTTGTGAATTCGGAGTGCTTTGAATCATTAGGGCAGAAATCACTTTGGAGAATAACACGTGCATTTATCAGATTTGGGGTACCATGCATTAATCCTAATTTCTAGGAAGTGTTTTATTGAAAGTGTCTTCCATTTGCTAGAATTTCAGAGGATTGGAAGAGTGAAAGATTTCATTGCTTTGTTGATTTGGATAAAGCATGTGCCTTGTAAAAATTAACTGTTAGTTGATTCTGTACTTCTATGAGTAACTGAACTAGATTTTTTGGTGATGTGAGATTCTATAATAATTTATGCTTACCATATTATGGGACTTGGGTTCTCTATGATAATTTGTTCTGAGCCTTTGTTCTACGCGTTGGTGTGTATTCGACAAGTTCATTTTGAAATATGTTCTCTATAAAATTCTCATACTTTGTTGTTGTATCAATTTTGTTATTTGCGATAATATGTGTGTAATGTGTTTTTGTACATCTTGTTCATATTATGTTGACGATTTTGGTCAACTGTTTTCCTAGTGCAAAATTGGGATGCCTGATGACCAGGATAAATATTCATATATTTTGCTTGTATATGTAAAATATATATATTATTTGTTAGCCAAGAATGCAAGGCTGTAATCGCACAATATGGGGAAAAAATTCTTACTATGTTGGTGGAAAAGGTCAGGATTACTTGTGACGTTGATTTTGCATTTAAATTTGATTTAGTTTTCTACATCGTTATGCAAGGCTGTCATCTAACTGTAACGCCCTGCCCCGGAATCCCGGAGTCGGTACGCTATTAGATCTGATGGACTGGCCTCACAAACCACCACATGTCTTTTCAGCACATTTTGTCCTCACTCACGTGCTCCCTGGAAAACTTCCAAGGGGGTCACCCATCCTAGAATTTCTCCAAGCCAAGCACGCTTAACTTTGGAGTTTCTAGGAGTTGGGTTCCTGAAAAGAAGATGCATCTTGGTGGTATGAGTATTCCAATCAAATCTATCAATACTAATCACATCACCCTCTTAAGGGTTGGGGTATTACATACTCCCCCACTTAAATTCACAACGTCCTCGTTGTGCCAAATCATATCATCCAAGACCGTACCATCCGTGTGAGATTCTAGAGGTGGCTCCTATGGCCTCAAGAGGTGGCTCCCGCCCTCTCGACGTAGCACTTTGCGCCGCATAGCACTTAGCTCTCACAATTCCGGTTAGCTTGGCTCTGATACCATTTGTAACGCCCTGCCCCGGAATCCCGGAGTTGGTACGCTATTAGATCTGATGGACTGGCCTCACAAACCACCACATGTCTTTTCAGCACATTTTGTCCTCACTCACGTGCTCCCTGGAAAACATCCCAGGGGGTCACCCGTCCTAGAATTTCTCCAAGCCAAGCACGCTTAACTTTGGAGTTTCTAGGAGTTGGGTTCCTGAAAAGAAGATGCATCTTGGTGGTATGAGTATTCCAATCAAATCTATCAATACTAATCACATCACCCTCTCAAGGGTTGGGGTATTACACTAACTTTCTTGTTTCACAAGTAAATTCTAACTTGATACCGGTTATTCTCACATCTCGTGTACTCAGTGGCTTTATTGAGAGTGTAGTAAATGATAACGGGACAAATCGACTGGTGGACAGAATGGGAGTAAAATGACAGTGATGAAGACCATATGTTCTTTGGAAGCACTAAGAAAACACGGGAGGTTTTTGTGCAGCAAAGGTAAGGATGTCTCTTACTGCATCTTGTAGTTCATTCTGTTCTTTAAATCAGTTTTTCTTTCAGATATTTACAGAAGGAAAAAAACTAGTGGCCCAGATGACAATAGTGTGATGTATGAGCTTGCTGAACGAGCATTACATGAGTCCATCAGCATTAAGTTGAAGGATTACATAGCTCAGGTATATCATTTAGACTGATATCTCTGTTTTCCTCAATAGTTGGCAACCAGTTAACATTGTCTATTGTTGCAATTTTTAAGTGATAATGGGATACAAAATGTAGAAAATGTTAAAAGATTCATCCATGGGACAAAATTTACTTATTTTATATTACAGGCTAGATACATCTATTAAAATGCCTGAGTTACATGAAATAGAAGTTATAACATATAAAAGATTAATCTTTTATAAGTTCTATGCTAAAATTAAGTGGAGTTATAATTTATAAATATTTATAAGTTATATGCCTGAGTTGCATGAAATAGAAGTTATAACTTATAAATATTTAATTTTAGCATATACCAGAACTTAAGTTCTATGCTAAATATTTGAAGAGTTGAAATTGTGATGTTTTGTTTTTTGGGTGTAGGATGGAGGAGTAGCGTTCTGGTCGTCAGATCTGATGCTAGGCAGCGAGGATGCAGCTTGATTAGCAACTCAGTTGCAGTTTAGTTCTTAAATTTTTGTTGTTTTTTGTGTTTTTTTATTTTTATTGAGGTTTTTGTAGTAATTTGTACTCATGCAAAGATTCCATTCTTGTAGTTAATTATATGAATTATATGATCACTTACATATATTCAATTCTACCATGTATTTGGTTGCATAAATTGCTTTGTTATTCATGTTGACGTCAGGTAATTTGTTTATGGATTTTGGGCACATTCTTTACCTTACAAAGATGATCTTGGTGTATTGTACATGTTTCTTAAAATGGATGAAGGATGAGCCTGGATACCAAGAAAGCACACCCAAAAAAAAAAACTACTATATCCTAGACGAAAATTCCGTCTAGGATGCTCAAATTCCATCTAGAATGGTTTTTTTAATAAAAAAATTTAAAAAAAAAATATAAAACGGAAATTCCGTCTAGTATGGGTATCCTAGACGGAAATTTCCGTCTAGGATACCTATTCTAGACGGAAATTTTTTCCGTCTAGAATGAAGTATTCTAGACGGAAATTTCCGTCTAGGATACTCCGTCTAGGATGTATTCTAGACGGTTTTGAATTCCGTCTAGAATAATCCGTCTAGGATGTATTCTAGACGGAATTTCCGTTTAGAATACAATATTCTAGACGGAAACTTCCTAGACGGGTATTCTAGACGGAATTCCGTCTAGAATACTCATTCTAGACGGAATTTTGATTTTCCTAGACGGAATTTTCCGTCTAGGATGTGTAACTTTCTAGAACGGTACCGTTGCTTTCAGATGGGAGAAAAACATGAGAACGGGCAGCGCAAGTGGCAGCCAAGAGCCCGATGGCTGCAAACAGGAACACCGGAATCGCTGCCGCACTCTTGGTCATTTTTCGCCTTATATATATAATTGCTTCTTCTTAATTAATTTTCTACAGCTTGATTGATGCCATACTGCCTCTGCCCTCGGGCTCTATTTATAGAGTTTATCTTTGCGAAAATCTGAGACCGCAAATTGTAACGCCCTGCCCCGGAATCCCGGAGTCGGTACGCTATTAGATCTGATGGACTGGCCTCACAAACCACCACATGTCTTTTCAGCACATTTTGTCCTCACTCACGTGCTCCCTGGAAAACATCCCAGGGGGTCACCCGTCCTAGAATTTCTCCAAGCCAAGCACGCTTAACTTTGGAGTTTCTAGGAGTTGGGTTCCTGAAAAGAAGATGCATCTTGGTGGTATGAGTATTCCAATCAAATCTATCAATACTAATCACATCACCCTCTCAAGGGTTGGGGTATTACACTAACTTTCTTGTTTCACAAGTAAATTCTAACTTGATACCGGTTATTCTCACATCTCGTGTACTCAGTGGCTTTATTGAGAAATCGACTGGTGGACAGAATGGGAGTAAAATGACAGTGATGAAGACCATGTGTTCTTAGTAAAATGACAGTGATGAAGACCATGTGTTCTTTGGAAGCACTAAGCAAACACTGGAGGTACTTGTGCAGCAAAGGTAAGGATGTCTCTTACTGCATCTTGTAGTTCATTCTGTTCTTTAAATTAGTTTTTCTTTCAGATATTTACAGAAGGAAAAAACTAGTGGCCCAGATGGCAATAGTGTGATGTATGAGCTTGCTGAACGAGCATTACATGAGTCCATCAGCATTAAGTTGAAGGATTACATAGCTCAGGTACATCATTTAGACTGATATATCTGTTTTCCTCAATAGTTGGCAACCAGTTAACATTGTCTATTGTTGCAATTTTTAAGTGATAATGGGATACAAAATGTAGAAAATGTTAAAAGATTCATCCATGGGACAAAATTTACTTATTTTATATTACATGCTAGATACATCTATTAAAATGCCTGAGTTACATGAAATAGAAGTTATAACTTATAAAAGATTAATCTTTTATAAGTTCTATGCTAAAATTAAGTGGAGTTATAATTTATAAATATTTATAAGTTATATGCCTGAGTTGCATGAAATAGAAGTTATAACTTATAAATATTTAATTTTAGCATATACCAGAACTTAAGTTCTATGCTAAATATTTGAAGAGTTGAAATTGTGATGTTTTGTTTTTTGGGTGTAGGATGGAGGAGTAGCGTTCTGGTCGTCAGATCTGATGCTAGGCAGCGAGGATGCAGCTTGATTAGCAACTCAGTTGCAGTTTAGTTCTTAAATTTTTGTTGTTTTTTGTGTTTTTTTATTTTTATTGAGGTTTTTGTAGTAATTTGTACTCATGCAAAGATTCCATTCTTGTAGTTAATTATATGAATTATATGATCACTTACATATATTCAATTCTACCATGTATTTGGTTGCATAAATTGCTTTGTTATTCATGTTGACGTCAGGTAATTTGTTTATGGATTTTGGGCACATTCTTTACCTTACAAAGATGATCTTGGTGTATTGTACATGTTTCTTAAAATGGATGAAGGATGAGCCTGGATACCAAGAAAGCACACCCAAAAAAAAAAACTACTATAGCATAGCAACCTAGACGGAAATTCCGTCTAGGATGCTCAAATTCCGTCTAGAAAGTTTTTTTAATAAAAAAAATTTAAAAAAAATAAAAAACAGAAATTCCGTCTAGTATGGGTATCCTAGACGGAAATTTTCGTCTAGGATACCTATTCTAGACGGAAATTTTTTCCGTCTAGAATGAAGTATTCTAGACGGAAATTTCCGTCTAGAATACTCCGTCTAGGATGTATTCTAGACGGTTTTGTATTCCGTCTATAATAATCCGTCTAGGATGTATTTTAGACGGAATTTCCGTCTAGAATACAATATCCTAGACGGAAACTTCCTAGACGGGTATTCTAGACGGAATTCCGTCTAGAATATAATAACGCGAACACACTATAATGAATAGAGAATGAACATTAACCAATAACACAATAAAAGGACATAAAAATCTAAAAAACTATAAGATAAATACTAAAAATAACATGTGTATACAATGTATATTGTTACAATGACAAAACAATACATATCGAAAACGAAGCAAACAAACAACAAATATTCTATAAACAACACATGAGTAAATACTATACATACTCACAAACGCTATTTAGAATTATCTTTATGTTAGTTATAAAAGAATAATAACTAATATAACAAAATAACTATATAATTTGTAATTCAACTCTAAACTTAACAATATAAATAATGCCTGAATATCAAAATAGAAATACATCGCTCTTAGAAATAACGAAACCAATTGTGAACATACTAAAACAATCTAACAAGACAAAACTGACTGATAAGATAATTATGTACCGAAAATGTTGTGAGTTGAGAATAAAGAATAAGAATGTATGTGTAGAATATTAAAATCATGAACTTATTAAAATATATCACTAAAAATATGAACAATATACAATAATGTAAAACATAAGTAAATAATAGATGGTATGACAGAAAACACACACATACATAATGTAGATATGCAAAGGTATAATTAAACACAATATATTAATCTAAATATCAGATATGATATGCAATGTATATGTGAAATTTAACGACATGATTTGAACAATTGAAAATGTATAAGTAATGGTATATATGAAAAACACACAATATAACACTGTGTATGATACATAAAATAATGTAAAAAAATTAATACAATCAACGATATATAAGTCAACCAAAGAAACATAGTCGTAAAAATATTAACACATATAATAACGACCGGTATAAGGAAAGAGGAGTTATAGGAAGAGAGCGTGTAGTCGCGAAATGATGAAACAAGAACAGTGGAAAGCTCAGAAGTCAAAGAGTGATAAGATATGGACGAAATGAAATCTATCAAGAAAATAGGATAATGGCTCAAGAATAGTCTCACAGATGAAATATGATATGTATCTTAATTATCCATCATATTCTTACTAGTGAGGACTCAGGACCATGACCGGGACCGTGACCTGCATGGGCCACCAAAAAAACCTATCACGCCCCGCTTCCCAAAATACCGGGGAAACAGAACACGAACAAGCCCGTGACGTATTAGATTGAGAAGAAATATACACTATTATTTTTTTTCCTTTTCTTCTCAATCCAATACGCTAAGCGTCTGGAAATAAAAACAATGCGAAGTCACAAGTCCCCGATCACAATCAGCAAGAATATAATAGACAAACTCAGAATAAAAATATCATATCACAAATAGGATAACATCCGAGACATAATATTCGGGTCAACATGTACTTATACAAAAACTATCTGAATGAAATACTGGAGAATATAAAAATACACTGATCAAAAGGAAATGAAGGTGCTACAAAACAAACTAAAAGGAATGACTAAGCTTCGGCTTATTCTTCTGCTACGTTTGTAAGACACTCATGCTGAGAATCCTCTGGCTCCTGGCGATCTCCTAGCGGGACCTGTTCTTCCTCTAAGTCTGACGTACACCAGAGAAAACAGGTGTACGTCATTGCACACGGCAAGACCCCACACAAATAGAACGAACGAAAACCAAACGGAAAACGATACGATGACAGAAATAACAAAAGAACGTGCAACTGGTAATCCAACAAAATCAACATTCAAACCACTACCAAAACATGATAATCATAAGAATCCGTAAATCAATCGGGTAATGAAATCATGCAGCTAACGATCAGAATAATCATCCAAGTATTTAAAAATCTACAACTCGAGACGGGTAATGAAATCATGCAGCTAACGATCAGAATAATCATCCAAGTATTTAAAAATCTACAACTCGAGACGCAGTACGTCGAGCAAAATAATCCAAACAAGGAAACTCTCATGTATATACCATATGTCTCAAATTATAGATAATTAAATATTAATCCCAATTTATGTATGAAAGAAATACAACTTATCTACATCTCACAAGAATCATACTTATCCAAGAATCAAGGTCATATAACTAGCCATCCTATCTCAACTCACTGGTCCACATCTCACATAGAGTCAACACTCATATCATCGGATAACTGACTGTTCACAAATCCTCTACGTGCACCCAATACGCCGCTACACTGGATCGGTCAGAGGGCTACACGCAATCCGTTTTCAGCCTGGTTCGAACTCAAGCAAAACCCGGGTGAATATCAAATTCACGGACCAAAGTGACTACACTGGCTTCACTTTGACCCAACAAACTAACCCCAAGCTACACTGGATCATGGGGTGAGCCTGGAAGATACATCAACAGTTATATCCGATCACATGAATATGGACTTTCCTATCCCAACTCTTCTTGTTTGTCTAATCAACTATCATAATCTCTATTAACTCGGGTTCACCACCTAAACTCAGTCAACACACTCACACATGTCACTAAGTCTGTTCATGACACATGAGGTCACTAAGTCATGAACTGCTAGGGGTTCTCAAACACAACCAGGAATAATCAATGTAACTAATCATGTGCAATAATATCGTAGCATATCAGATAATCAAGATTAAGAATTATAAATCATAAACCGAGTTTACATAATTAAGAAATATTTCCTTTTCCAAAATAATTTCTTTTAAAATTATTATAATTATCCAGAAATGATTCCGCTACCAAAATAAATTCTTTTAATTCATAATAATTATTCTAAAATAATCTTTTCTATAAAATAAACTCTTTTAAATTATTATTCTAAATAATCCCTTTTACATCAAGTAAATTCTTTTCTCATTACAATAATTATAAAATAATCTTTAAATATTCTATTTAATATTACTTCTTCCAAAGTAAATCCTTTTAAAATATTTCTCATAATAATAATTCAGAAGACTCCCTTTTAAAAATTATTCTTTCTTTCAAAAATATTTTGTAATTAATCATAAACTACTTTTCAATATATCTACTCATCATAAATAGCATCACTTCACAAAATATAATTACCATAATATTCTCAACAAACTCACGCAGATAATAACATATCAGTCTAATCTATAAATATCAGATAAAAATAATGAATCAAAGAGAAGCATGATCTTACCTCGGGGTTCGTCGAACGAAATGACGTTGATGGGGATCTCGACTATGTAGCGGATGGCGGTTCAGATCTGAGAGTCGACGGGACTAAGCACGAGTAGCGCAACGAGCGCAGGTGGTTCGTGCGACGTCGGCGATCGCGCGTGGTCGGAGCTCAGATCTGCAATGGATCGTAGGCCGCACGCTGCCGACGGACTCGGATCTCGGGCTAAGACAGAGGCGATGGCGTGGTGCTGCGGAGCCGTCACTGGCGAGAAGCGGCCAGAGCGGCGGTTCCGACGGAAGGCTGTTCGGCGTGATTTTGGTACGGTGGTGGCTGGCCGAGTAGGCGGCGCGAACAGGAGTCTGGCGCGTGAGCTTGGGGATGGCGCAGTGGCGGTGCGGGAGGGAGGCTATCAAGCATAGGAGCTTTGGGAGCGGCGCTGGGGGACAGCGGGAGAAGAGGGTGGGTGGCCGGTGCTCAGGGCTGAGGAGGCGGTGCTCAGGCTAGAGGGGATGAGGCTGCGAGTACGGAGAGGCGGAAGGCAGCAGAGGTGCTGCGGCAGGCGAGGCAGGTGCCGTCGAGCGGCTGTCGTTGGGAGTCGAGTAGAGAGGTAAGAGATGTGGGTCCGAGGCCCGCGAGCTGACCGGTGACGAGGAAGAGGGCTCGGCTGGCGTCTGGAGGGTCAGGCGTGGTGCCACGGACGATGAGGACTCGTTCGGTGCGGTGGCCCAGGGGTGCGGCGAAGCCGTGAGAGATGATAGCGCAGGCGAGGAGAGTGGAGAAGCAAGGAGTATGGGGCGCGCGCGTGAAAAGCATGAGAGAAGAGAGATGGGAAAAAAAAAAAAGATATATATATATATATATATATATATATATAATATATATATATATATACTAATATAGGTATATATATATCTATTAAGGGCGATTAGGGTTTGAAATTTAAACAAAAATAATTATAATAAATAATTACTGTAGGAAAAAAATTAAACTAATTACGAAATAATTATCTATAATTAAAAACGTACATGTTGTACTAATACAATAGTTGATACGAAACAGTCGAAATATACCCATATTGTACAATTAAACGAAAATAATTAATAATAAAAATATATTTACTTACATTTAAAATCATATAATTATTAGATAATTATATACACAGTAAAACGTACCAGTTGTACTAATACGACCGATAATACGCAATAGTAGAAATAATACAAGAAATTATACAAATAATACGTAATTAATAATACAACATATTATACAAAATATATGTAATAATAATAATAATACCACGTATTATTCAAAATGATAAGTAATAGTATCGGTAACACAACGGATAAATTGCAGAA